GCTTTATTGTCATGCTCTTGTGAAAATGCAGGTCCTGATTCCGCAGGTCTGGGAGGAGCCTGAGGTCCTGTGTTTTTTATGAGCTGCAGGTAAGGCTGACGCTGCTGGGGTCACAGACCACGCTGGGAGCAGTGTGGGTCAAATACTTGCTCTTTCCCATTTCTCACTTCCTGCATACATGAGCTATTACCATATCTTATTTTTCATCCTGATGAACTGCAAACAGGTTTTCTTTTCTAAGGGTTATTGTGCTGGTGCCTGCTGACAACTTCTTTGGCCTTAACTGCCCTTGTTCATCACATCTTCTGATTCTGTGTCTGCTTGCCCCATTGGATGTTTCCAGATGCACCTGCTAAAACACATTCCTGCCTGAACACTGCCTACTTTTGGGTTCCACTCCCCCCTCTTGACTTTCAGCTTTGTTCTACTTCGGTTCTCAAAATTTATAAACTTGGCCCAGAATATGATCAGAATGTAATGTCCTTTTTTTTTAATCAATGAAGATATCTATTTAATATATTTTTTGTTTATCTTCCTCCCAAAACACTTCTACTGTATCTCCAAATCCTTCCTTTCTAAAAAAATAAAAATAAAAATAAATGAGGCAGCTAGAAATAAAGATAATATTGACAAAGGTCAATAATTTGGAATTACACCAGCCTTGCTCTCCCCCTAACCACCTTATTATACTCATGGTTCTGTATGGTTTTTAACTTTTTCTCCTAATTTTAATTTATTCTTTCCGAGTTTTAAGTGTTTCATCATAGTGGCTTGGATTTTTTCCAATCCCATGATTATCTCTCTATTAAAGCCTTAATACAAAAAGAAATAAAAAAAAAACAGACTGCTCATTACTTTGATTTGTAGCAAAGAGAGAATGGAACATTATCGCTAGAGTGTTTCGAGAAACCATATTTACATTTGCATCAGCTCAATTTAGGTGCCTGATTAGGTTGCGTGTTATGATGAAGATGCACTTACCAGTCAGAGGGAAGTGGCGTGGTCTAGATAATGAGCAGGAGACTTCAAGTCAGGAGCCCTGAATGCTATTTCTGGCTGTGACTCTCTACCTCTCTGACCTTGAACAAATAAGTCCGTCTCATTGCCTTGGACCTAATAGCCTCCTATGCCTTATAGGGCTGCTATGAGAGTGTTTATTATGGAGTAGGAGCTATGGAGTGAAGCAAGGGAGGGGGGTTGAGGCTCACAAATGGAATTGGAGATGGGACCTCTGCTCTGATGGCTCCACTAGCCTGCTAAGAGACAGTGTCTGAGAAGTGGGCTGACTGCTCAGATGTTGGTTTGACAGGGCTTGAGGACATGATGAGAGGTTAGTTAGTGAAACTTAAAAGCTTGCCAAAATATTGGGTGAGATGATCAAACCATCCTGTTACTTAGGAAGGCTTAACAAGAGTACATACTGTCGTTCTTCTCATAACGGTGCCTTCCTGAGGTGTCCATGTCACACCTGGGACCAGGACTGGCAGTGACCGGCTTCTGTAGGACATCCTAAGGAAGGCCTGCTCAGCTGGCGATCCCTGACTTTAGGGGAAAGATATTCCCCTGTGGTGACTCTAAAACATGCTTGAAATAAGCTAGTTTTCTCTGTTAGGCCTGCAAGACCAGGAAGAGTGTGCCCAGATTCATGCATTCTTTAGTTGAGTTTCTCTCCCAGCAGAGAACTAGATGGAAGGGTGAAGGTTAATATGCTTTTAAAAAATAAAGAAAAATGACAATATTTTCTTTCTTTCTGTTGGATGCTTAGACTTCAGCAGACATCACAAAGACAGCACCTGTGGCTCTCATCTTGTTACCATCTTGTATTGGCTACTATTTGCTGAGAACAACCTAATAATGATAGGTTGTATTGATTAAACACTGTTCTAAGTGCTTTACATCAACCAACACATTTAATTTTCACATTAATTTATTAGTGTTTCACATCCTGATTTTACAAAGAAGGAAATTGGGGAGTAAAGATATTAAATAATTTGCTGAGCATTACACAGCTAGGAAGCTGCAGCTGCAGGCTTAGAAAACAGGTCTGCTAGCTCCAGAACCTTCCCTCAGAAAGGTGAAAACAAACTTGAAATGGAGAGAGCAACAAACTCTGGGGCCCGTGGCTAGAAAGGTCAGAGCTATTCTAGAGCAACAAGTCATCTCCTGAAAGTGAGAGTGCAGGCTGATATCCCAACAAGAATACGTGGGATCCAGAGACTAACATGAGAACCTTGCTGTGGGCTAGTTCTGACCTGTTCACACAACTGCAAGGGGGTCTTTTTCCTGGTGCGAGAGAGCTTCCTAGGATTCAGCACCAAACATCCCACCTGTTGGAAAGCCTTATTCTTTGCCGTTACAGTTCGTCTCCTTTCTTCTATGGAGAGCACATGAAAATACCATTTGTTTTCTATGGACCAAAAGCTTTCTTAGAGAATTGAATGAATTCTGTTTGAGACTGAATATTGCACCATAATACATTTCTGATACTCTCTGTAAGCTTATTCTCCCTCTACCGTTCTGGATAAAGTGCCCTTCTGGTCATGTGGGTGACCCTCCATGTGTAGTTTAACAATTTCTTGTGACCCTCTTTCATCAGAGGAAGCAAGGTCATGAATTTGCCAAAGGGAGTTGCCACTAGAGACCAAAGGAGAAGGAGGATAAGAGGGAATTCCCACAGGAACAGGGAGGTGGATCACAATACAGATCCTACAACAAGTCTCCCTGGAGCCACCACTTCGCTTGATAACTAAAGGCAAAACTCCCAGAATGCTCCTGGAGCAGCTGTGTGTGACCATTCTTTGGTCCCCCACCAAAGGGTCACAAATCAGAGTGCTGCATGTCTGTCAGAATGAATGCTTACTGCCTCCCCAAGTACAGGTTCATGTGCAAGAACTGACCCCCGAGAAGCAGAATGGCACCGTGTAAGAGCTCGTTACATTAAATGATCAGAAAGCCATTACCGACTGATAGAACGGTTGATAGTGCAGAAATGATTACACACTCTCCTCCCCATCGGCCAGCTCAGAGCTGCCACCAGGCCCTCCATGGCTTCCAGGCTGGGGCTGGGACTTGATGAGAAGAAATCTCTATCGAAGAAGGAAAATGATGGTTGAATCCCTCCAGTTCTTACAGCCCTGAATGGTGGTGGTGGGATTCTCAGCCTATTTCAATTCCAATGTACTTTTAAAAAATATATTTGTGTGATAACAGTGCTTCTGAAAGATTTGGGGTAAACTGAAACATCTAAGGTAAATTAAATCTCATTTTCATGGACTGGAGGAATTTGCTGCTTAAACTAACTCCCTCTCTCTCTCTCTCTCTCTAGCAGGATTTTGTATTTTGTTTCTGTGTAACTCCCCAACCCCTTCACTCCCCAGGCCCTTCGTCTGCATGTGCCTATGAGAATCACATGCCAGGAGATAGGCCTCCAAAATGTATGCTCTTACCAGCTGGGAATCTTCCAGTGCTGAATACCTTAAAACCTTGTTTCTGAAACACCATACTGACCCAAACAAACACCATGGTTATTGCAGACATTAAAAAAAAAACAACAACAACAACAAATACCCAACCTCTTAGAAATAGAACAATGCCTAAATATATTTCAAGAACCCAGATTCTGGAGTCTGATCATTTGGGAACTAAAGCTGGCTCACCATTTACTAGCTGTGTGTCCTTTGGTAAGTCCCCTAACTTCTCTGGACCTCAATTTCCCCATTTGTAAAAAAGGGAGAAGAATTGTTCTTCCAGCATAGAGTTGCTGGAAGGATTAAATGTGTTAATGTACTGCCCTGGCCAGGTGGCTCCGTTGATTGGAGCATCACCCCATGCACCAAAAGGTTGTGGGTTCCAACTCTGGTCAGGGCATGTTTGGAAGTAGTTGGTTGATGTTTCTCTCTCTCTCTCCCTCCCTCACCCGCTTCCTCCCCTCCTCCCCCCACAAATCAATACAAATAAAATAAATGAGTTAATGTACATAACAAAGTGCTAGATCTAGCAAGAGGTCCAACCATAGAGTATGTTCATATGACTAGACACACATGTGCCACGTGGTTAACAACAACCTCCAGGTGCTGGAAGAATAGGCGTTTTTCTGATTTTGTTTCTCCTTGTGCTTTTAAGATACTTTCTCTAATATTTTTGCATTGGGAACTAATTTGTAATTGGAAAATAAATGTCTTTGATAAGAGAAAAAAGTTCAGAAGTTCAGCCAAGCTCCCAGGATTGTTTGAAGACTAGGGGCACGGTGAGGGTGAAAGGGAGTAGGCGAGAGGGCAAATGGGCAGAGGAATGAAGGAGACATGGGAACTCAGGGATGCACTCGTGGGAGCCCTGACGTGAGGATCTTGAGGTGCCTCCTGCTTTACAAGTGCTGGTCCAGCAGTGGGGTTTTTATCCCTGCTTTGTCCCTTGTCACATGGGCCAGATGGGTCTCATGCTTGATTTTCTGCTCTCTGATGCTTCTGAGGATGGGCACTGATGGGCCAGGAAGTACAGCCTGGTTCCGTAAGCAAGGCCAGCTGAGGCTGTGGTGTTGACAGGAGTGAGGGCAAGCTCGTCCCTGTCCCCACAGAGCTCCCCAGACCTCTGGAGCAGGAGCAGGAGCTTATCCTGCCTTCATTTGCATGTCTGGGTAATTACAACTCATAAAAGTATCTAACCCATTAGTTAAAACCCAGCCCCAGCATTTGACTCTACCCTCCTGCCGCAGCACTGGCCACACGCTGACTCTATGCTGCCTCATTTGTCCTCAATTTATAAGCAGCGGAACCTATAAATAGAAACCCTTTTTGCTAAGTTCCCCAGGAGGCATCAGCAGGTTTTCCAGCCTGTATGTGTTTTCTTCTTTCTTTTTTTAAACACCAACATGGTAGGCTTGTTTTTCCTGCCCGCTGCTCCTCCAGCCCTCACTTCTAACTCAGTCTGTGGGCATTCCCGCTGGCTCAGCCACCCGCCCACAGGACCTGTCCAGGTTGGGTTCTGAGGGAGGCCCCACTCACCTGTAGATCCTATACCTGGTGGTAAACCCCTGGCGGTACCGCTCCACGAAGTCAGTGTACTCCTGAGCACGGTGGAAGGGGCCCCGGTCTGTGAGCAGCCAGTCCAGGGGTGGCTGGCCAGCTGAGGACGCATGCTGTTCGGGGACTACAGCAGCAGCCGTGGCCAAGACAGCCAACACCCAAGCAGGGAGGCCCAGCACCAGCAGAGTTGCCCATGGGGCCGCCGCCGGCCGGAGCCCTCTAAACCGAGTGCCGCTCTGCCACCTCATGCTTCTCCCAGGCAGTTGGTGTCTTCATTCTCTCGCCACACTCTCCCCCTCTGAGCCTCTCCTCCAGGGCCCCTGGAACCAGAAAAGCACACACGGAGATGTCAGGTGAACATCCTGGTCTCACCAATGGGCCTGTGTCATCAAATATCAGTGGGCAGGACACATCCTAGGAAGAGCCCACCCAGAAGTTGGGGCCAAATGTAAACCTCTCTCTATATAAAAGCCTAAGTGACCAGACAACTGGCCAACCAGCCGACTGGCCAGAGTCAGAGAGATCTGAGCCTCAGCATCTGTGCAGGATGCTCAAATCAGTCCCTGGTCATAGGATAGAGAGACAGAAGCATGAGTGCCTGGACCTCCAGAGTCACTCCTCCACTCCAGCTAGGAGATATTGGTCACTTACATGTGCGAGGTGATTCTGAGAAGTTGCCCCAGTTAACACACAGTAAGAGAGGTTTATCAGCATTATTATTATACTAGAGGCCCAGTGCACAGATTCATGCACCAGCAGGGGCCCTCGACCAGGTCTGTAGGGATCGGTCTGAAACTGGCTCTTTGACATTCCCCAAGGGGTCCTGGATTGTGAGAGGGTGGTTCTCGGGTGACACACCCTAGAATTAGGCTCCCTCCTCTCTGGTTCCGGGTGCTTCACCCAAGAACTGCAGCTGCCAAGTCACCACAGCTCAGCAGCTCCTGCTTTGAGCATCTGCCCCTAGTGGTCGGTGTGCATCATAGCTACTGGCTGGTCGGCTGGTTGGCCGGTTGGCCAGTCACTTAGGCTTTTATATAGAGAGAGGTTTACATTTCACTGGGACTCAGAGGAATTAAGCTAAGAAGATGCAGAAGTAGGATATGAACCTAGGTCTGGCTCCATGTCCAACCCTTGTCAAAGCATGCTGTGCTGTCTAAGGAGCTAGAGCAGGCAGCAAGGCAGACTCAGGCATAAGGGACTGGGTGAGAGAAGAATAATGAGGCCATGCCTGCTCCTACTAGATCTTAAAAGATATTATAAAATTCCAATAATTAAAATAGGTGATACTGGCCCACAAATTGAATGGGCAGATCAATGATATAGAACAAATGGCTCAAAAATAGAGCTCATTATACATGAGAACTTAATATATATTTAAAAAAGCATTACAGACTAATTGGGTAAGGGATGGAATATTTTATCCATCATATTGGAAAATTAGTTCTAGATGGATTAAAAAGTTAAATATAAACAGTAAAATCATAGAATGGAGAAAATTCCCCAAATGTTTTATAATAAGCATTCATTCCTTTTAGATCATGGGGGAAAGTGATATAAATGCAAAGGAGGAATCAGCCTTACACATGGGTTGTAGCATATTGAATAGGATATAATCTGATGAGGACACCCAGAATATTTCTCATTTAATCATTCGCACATTCATTTATTGAGAAGTATCCATCGAGGGCGCTGTGCTAAACATTAACAGTACAGAAGCAAGTGCTCATGCCATTATCTGAAACTCTACCGTTAGTAATTAATTCCTCTTATAAAACATTGTTTCTAAAGGCATGTTGCTGGAGGGGAGAGAAGGATGCTCACTTTGGAGGCTGGGCTACTTGACACAGCCGTCAGGTGGATGTGCATGAATGGGTGGGAAGTCACAATTCTAAAATGGCCACAAGTTTCCCATGGCCATCAGGGCACGCCCTTCCCCTTGAGTGTGGACAGGACCTGTGAATAAGATGAGTCACCACTCCCATAATCAGGTCACTAATCAGTTGACCATCAAATGGAAAGTATCCTGGGTGGGCCTGACCTAATCCGGCAAACCTTTAACCGTAGGTGACGTTTCAGAGACAAGCTCCTGCTGGCCTGGAAGACAGCAAACAGCCATGCTGTGAATGGCCTGTGAGGGCCATGCGGCAAGGGGTTTTAGGTGGCTTCTAGGAGCTGAGAGCAATTCCCAGTCAATAGCTAGTAAGAAAATTAGAAAGTTGGTCAGATGGCCACAAGAAAATCAGCTCTGTCAACAGCCACATGAACCCTGATCCCCAGATGAGAACTGTTTCCTTTATTTCAGTCTAGTGAGCATAGTAAATTTTTTTTATTGTTTTATGCCTTTAAGTTTGTGGTGATTTGTTAGACAGCAATAGAAAAACAATACAGACTTAGCCAAAGACAATGGTACCCCTCCCCCATTCTGCACAAGGCCTGGCCTGGTGAGAGTTCTTTATGTTCCCCGAAGACTAACTATTCTTCTCAGCATGAGAAAAAGTGAGTGTGGCAGTTTCTGGAGCAGAGTGACGTCCCTAAATCTGATCACATTCACGCCTTCCCTGTCTGGATTATGGATCCCTCTAGGTCAGCGGCCACATCTTCATTTTGTAATTCCAACACTCAAGGGCCCTAAAAAAAAATTGTGAAGAATCAATTGCATGCAATGAGCCAGTGACAGTGTGTGGCCTCGGTCCAGCCACTGAACCTCTTGGTGCCCTGTGCTATAATCTGGGGATTGGTAGCTGCCACCTCCCCTGCGAGTCAAGGGTTTTGTAAGGACAGGTGACAGCGTGTGGGAAAAAGAGAGCCCTATTGAGTCCACACGTGCTTCTTGTCATTCTTTGTTTGTAATTATGCTTTCTCGGAGCTCACATTGTGCTAAACCTGACTGGGTGTAGCAGTATCGGCTTTAGAATCAAATGCTTGTGATTGCGGGGCGAGTCTGCTGAGCGCAGCAACAACGCCCAAATCCAGCGCCAACCGCACATCTGAAAAGCCAGGCCTTGGATCACGTGGTTTCTGCTCCATAGGTTTCCTCAGGGTCTCAAAACATTTTCACTAAATAAAAATATTTTTAAGAAAGCGAGGTTTTAAACTAGTTTCAAAACTCTTTTTTTAAAAAAGTCCTATAATTTGTTGATTTGCCTTAATTTAAAAAAAGACAAAATAATTGCTGCATTGACAGTAAAAATGCAGCAAAATTAGGCTCCTCCAGGGATTAACTTTTGGCCATTTCCTGTTCATGCTCCACAAATAATATGACTAGAAATGTTTTTATTAGAGATCTCTGAAGAAATTTTTAACCGTCTACATTCTCATGACTTCTGGTGGCATCACTAATATTCAGCAGGTTAAATAATTAGCACCTTCCTGTGTCCTTTGTCCTAATGCTGACTATATGAGTAACCCCCCTCCTTATAGGCCTGTAGATAAAAATGATGGTGAGGCTAGCTCTTCAATTAAAGAAAGTATAAATTTACTTGTGAAAGCCCAATAATTTCATTTACTTTGATCATATTTAAGACAGAGTTTTACGTGGACCCAAACAATAAATTCGCTTTGGACTAAAGGTGCAAGTGAAGTAAGTTCTGGCTTTTGCTTTGTGAGTACATTAGCTCAGATCTGTCCATGAATTAAACGCATTATAGTTTTGTCAGTAGAGAAAATCAGGTGCAAATGTAATCACACGAGAAGGAGCCCATGCAGTCTTCCAAACGGAGAGCTTATGAGACTCCTGTCTCCACCACTTAGAGGTGATCCCGGCTGTGGCCTTCTGGGGACTCTTGTGTCCTTCTGTTCATCTCAAACTCCATTTATGCTTGATGTGTCAAGACAGCCAGTTAGAATGTGGGCATCCACAGCTTGTGTACTAAATCCCAACAAGTGAGAGAAACTTCCCCCTTGGAAAATTACTGCAGAGGAGGGGTTACATGTTAGAGGAGTTAAGGTTATGGCTAACCTATTGTTAGAGGCCAGAAGAAAGGGAGAAACAGGTGTGAAATCGGTATTGTAATTAACAGAATGGTTAATCTTGCTAATAATTATCATTGATAAACACCAGAATAAATCATTTAATATTTGTGTGGAACTTCCTGCTTATGAAGCATGGATAATAAAATCACACTCAATCTTCCCCACCTAGATTGTCTGCTCCCCCTTTCACAGATGGGAATACTGAGGCTAGGATTACCAGGTCATGTATTTCAGTGGCAGATCCAGGTCTACACACTCCAGATCCTATCCTATTTGCTCCTCACTGCACCACTGACATGATTTATAGCTATAAAACCTTGTGGGCTTTGCCACTTACAAGTTGGTGCCCGTGGGAGTAAGTCTCTTCCCTCTGGGAGTCTCCCTTTGGTCATCAGCAAACTGATTTAAGAGGTAAGATGAGCCCTCTGGTCTTGCCCAGTGCTCAAATTCCATTATTCCAGGCAAATGCAAGGTCACAAATAGAAGGGGAGAGGCATTAAGATTTTATTTTTAGGAGGAAGCTCTGTGTTTCAGAAAGGGAGTGAAGCAAAAGAGAAGGGAGGAATAAAGCAGAAATCCCTGCCTGATGGAGCAAGTGACATTTAATAAAGTGATTAGGCAGTGACATTAAATAAGTTCTCAAGCCATTTGAGTGGTTAATTGGCCAACTCTATTGAGGAGGTGTTTTCCTGAATACATCTGAGGGTATCAGTGGGGAAAACTCGCCAAAAGTGTTTTGTTCTGATCAGCTGCCACATCTTGATGCAAAACCTCTTGTTTTGAGCAGAAAAAGAGGGTGGACAGGAGAAATGGCAGAACGTTCTGGGGTGGGGACTCCTACAGGGCAGGGGTGGACATGGGTGCTATTAGATCAATGACTTTTATTCTCCCCTCCTGTTGGCGTGATCTGCCACCCTCAACAGAGACAAAGTATGGTGCTTTTACTCCAATAATAGGTCAGACAGCTGCAGCAGGGCCACGATTCCCCTACTGAACCCAGGCAGAGCTTACACCCAGACCGCCACTGTCCTCTCCAGGCTCTGTGATAATGACCTTCAGTTTCACCTCCAGATCTGGCGTGGAACTGGCAAGCGATATTTCATGCTTTTCCCCACCGCTGGTCAGGACATGACTTAAAATAGGTGAGACACATGGATATCTTCCCTGTATAGAATCAGGTTACCCACATTAGTGATTATTCAAGCAAAGATAAGAGCTAATCATAATTGCTATTTACTAAATGTTCTTTCATTCATCAGAGGCCATTAAGAGGAGAGGCTGGGGACGGAGAGGGACTTGGTGGCGCCACTCCCCAAGGAATGAAACTTTAATATTCGCAGTCTAAGGT